TTCCCTAGTAACTATTGATACCTGTCCACTTATCAGGGTGGTATGTCTTCTCAGTGCCCATTAAAAGTCTAGCCAATTACTAACAGAGGTACCTTTGTACAGCTTCCATACTACACCTGACCCCAGCTGAAATAAGCCCCTCTATTTTTTTGAGCAAAGACACTTCCCCCTATAGAAAACTAACAAAAATCAGGGGCTGTACCTGAGGGTGTGTTGTAAGTAGAGAAGATCCTGAAACATAGGAAACCTTTTCGTAGTGCGACTGGATAATCCAATTGGAACTTCCAAGGGCGTAGCCTGAACTGAGAGGGGTGACCTGCACAGCACCAAACAGCTCCTGAAACACACAGTAAGAGACGTTAACTTGAGCGAGCCCCCGAGAGAAGTCAGAACAGGTCGTTTCATCATCAGCGATATCAATTTTAAAAGTAGCTCTGCTATTCAAAGCCTTTAGGAAGCTAGTTTCCTGAGCTTTAAGCCTGCTGGTTTTATTTACCAATATCTAACAGGACACATGCTCTGAGAAAAGCTTTTCCTGAGGTAGGGTCTTCATAAAGTCTTTCTTCTGTGTGAATTCTACGGCATCTGACTGAGTTCACACTGAACCATAACTCTAAATGGAGGAATCAACCAGAGTCTTGATCCTCTGCCTGCCTTTGCTGTATTGAAGAAGCTTGTAGGAGCTTCGTATCTTTGAAGACTCTTTATTCCCTTAGTCAAATTTTATTGATATTGGCCAGCAGGAGAGAAGGAAGGACAAGTAGTTCTGTACTGATATAAAACTCTGTTTGGGTTCCACGTTTTGCTGTGGAAAACATAAACTTAACTTCAGACTCACTCACTTTCCAACTTTAGTTCTTTTTAAATGCTGTCTACTGGTGATTTAGAAACAACACCCTGCAAACTCAATCCAAATTTCAGTTTCAGCTCTGAGCATAAGCAACCCGACAGTTGTCTCCTTTCCAGGTGTCATTAGAAAGTGTATTGCTTTATCTGTACACAGTAATGTGTTATACTTGCTTTGAGAAAGGAAAATAAGCCTCCATGTATACCTCACTAATGTGATCTACTTTCTGGTTACTGAATAATAGAACAAGCATCTGATTCATGCAATACTAATGATTTTTCTAGTATCTCAATACATATCTGGATGCCTTGCAAAACAAAACAGGGTCTCCATCCCTCAGGGTGTGTAAACCAAGGCTCTAGGTTCTGCTGATATGCAGACATGTAAAGTGGACAACCAACCATTCTTGATGTTATTACATTTTGGGTTAACTGGCTAATTAAGGTCTGATTATTTTAAAAGTTTGCTTTAGGAAAAGATCAAATATGCTCTAGAAATGTCTCTTTTTTTCCCAGTAGCTATAAAGGAATGACTGGCTCAGGTGCACAGATCCAAAATTAGGCGAGATGCAGCCACGCTGCGAGGACAGTGGAAGGTGAACAGTAACCACCCATGGATACTGAGGAAGTCCAAATGCCCTGAACCTGTCCAGTTGCCAGACAAAGCTGCAGCGGTTACTTACATCAGCAGCCATGTTAGTGGTGGCTGGGGGTCTTTTTTCACCAGCACCACACAAACCCAAATCCACCAAATTTAGTACACAGCAGCACTGGGTACTGTTTCTAATTGTCTTACACACAAACAGTAGCCTCCAAACTTCAGCGGTCCATTGCTTAGGAAAAGGAAGCAAATAAAAAGCTTTGGGTACACAACTTACTTTAGCCCATCTTTTTATTTCTTAGGGCTCTGAGCAGCACCAGCAGGTGTCATGGCCCACGTGCTGCCTACAAGCTGTAAGGGAATAGCGTATCTGCAGACCACTGAACTGTTCCTTCAGTTCATTCTAGAAACTACACTGGATTATAGTCAACGGCATTATAGACAACAACTGTTAGTTGGGAACCCTGGGAAAGGAGTTTTTGAAGTTCAGGTCGAACCATTAGGTTTTGTTTACAATCCCTAATTTGCTGTATAAAAGAAAGTGGAGGCTAAAGCACTCAAAAGATTCCCAGAAGTGAGATACAGTAACTCAGAAGGGGATGTGGCTTACAAACAGAGAGGATACATTCATTTGGTACATCCTCCCGGCTCTCAGTGGGCCAGCCATCAACTCCAAATTTGAAGGTACACCGCCTTAAAATTGGCCTCCCCGAGGAAAAGGAGAAACAAATGGATACTCCCTGATTTCACCAAACAAGAACCCTTCCTGGGAGGCAGACTGAGGGATATTCAATATAATCTTGTCTTGCTTTCCTAGGCTAGGGTAACTAGATCTTCCACAGGATCTAGAGGGAAAATAGAAAAGGAAGGGCATTTCCAGAGAAAAGCTTGGGAAACAACAACTTGTTACTGTTGACCTGAGGATAGCTTCACAGGTACTCACAATTTTCTGAGAATATCCCACCAGCTGGATCTTACTGAGCGCAGCGTTCACTTCTGGCAAGGTGTAGCACTTTCTCCACATAGACACCTCCACCGCGTCCTTCAGAGGGGCGGGCAGCAATCTGCAAAGATCAAGGCGGGGTGGGCATTTTCCGAACTTCCTGATGGATCACCAGCTTTTATTTCCATTTATATTCTCCAGATCTTAGATTTTTCTCTTTTTTTTTTTTGTATTTTAAATATGCCTGGTGCTTCAAAGTGAGGAGCAAGACTTTCTGCCTGTTGAGGAGCAGAACCACACTGCCCATTTTGCCTCACCCCAAAGATTGCTCTCCTTCAGCTCTCTTTGTTGTTGTTCCTATTCAGCCCTTTCATCAAAGAAGTAGCTGTGATGAAGGTGTTATAGCAACTCTTGTGGTATTTTCACCACTGATGAAAGATGTTGGCTGATCTGACATGTCAACATGAAATGCACCACTAGAACCGGTAAAGATGACTGGGAGCTTGGATCAGTGCCTCTTTTGCATATCCTAAAAATCTGAAAACAAAAGTAAGCCACAATCTTGTGATTAAGATACAGGTACCAGACGATGAACAAAGGCTGGCTCTTGTCTCATTTTTGTCACCAGTGTCTTGCAGGAGCACACGCCCCTGCACCTCAGTTTCTTTGCCTTCAACTCAGACACCCCACTGGCCTTCCAAGCATACTGGCAAGGATACATTAGCTGACACTGCAGAGCGCTCTGAAATCCCCTACACGGAAGTATTTAAGATGTTTTACACCAAAGTAAAATCCATCCATTCTGCTCTTCACAGACATTGCAAGTTAGCTGGGCAGCGTTGTCAAGGGAAGAAGTGAACTGTAATGTCACAGGCTGTAAGAGAGATGGCTAACTTCTGGGAAATAAATCTTCCTTAGCAACATGAACTGAGGCAGGAAGCAGCACAGCTGCCAAATGCATAAGAAGAATAGGATTTTTTTTGTATATTAAACCAATGCTAAATCAAAGGCTAATTCAAACCAATTTCCAAAGATTTATGGAAATTGGTCAAGTTTCTTTGATCAATTTGTTTAAAGGAATTTAATTTATTGTTATATCTACTAGGTCAGTGAACTCCTCCATAATTTAAGACACTGAAGAAAGGATTAAGGCCAGCTATTGCCAAGACTGCTGTACAGGTCTAGGGCGATAACTGTAATTCCAGCACATGCTGGCTGAAAGCATACTGCGCTTAAGGAAACAAACAAAGCGTTCAAGGTCTTTTTTGGGAAGTCATAAGCAAAAAAAGGCCAAACGATGTGGATAGTTGTCCACCATTGCACTGAAGCAAATTGCCTGTAAAAGCCTTTAACCTACCATAAGAAGCATTTAGTGTTGGATGCTTTCAGGAGCTTCTCTTCTGGGAAGAGGAGAATGTATCTCCAGGTAATGGAGAAAAGTGGGGAATTGTCCTTGGCGATTGAAGTAAGTTTCTATTAGCCTTGACTCTGTGGCTATGCTGTAAATATACTCTGGTCCCTAACACAGACCAGTGGCACCAGTCTCCAGCAGCTTCATTCTTTGCTGACCGGCACCCAGAGACAACGAGGACTGCTGGTTCCTCAGATGTGCCCCTGCTGGCATTCAACCTGTCACCCACGCTTTTAAAATTTGTACAGAAAGTTACTGGAGGATATTTTAAAGTCTGGAGTGAATCTACTAACAGTATGGCAACATCCTATCATGGATCACCTCATAACAACCAGATGTATGTGGGCAGATGCCGGGACAGCCAACCTACAGCCACAACCAGGAAGGCATCCCGAAGCAGTGTGGTCCAGTGGTTAGTATACAAAATTTATGCTTAAGAAACTGAGAGGCTTGCATTCTTAATCTGGGTGTCTGTACAGAGACAGTCCCTCCCGTTCAGTGCAAAGGATAACATGTAGTATATGACATAACATGTTCTTGTTTGCAGGGAGAGGAGGATGGCAGGAGAAAACTTGATCAGATCGCCAGCCTCTCTTGTCCGCTCCTCCGCCTCAGGAAGCAGCCTGTTTCAGACACCTTATAGAAAGATACAAGAAACCATCAAACAGGTAGCTGACAAAGTGCCTTTCATAAGGCAAACTTCCTCTTTAGCCCCCTGAATCCTAACCAGCGTGAAAGATATCCTGGCTGAGCATCTATAGAGCTTCCATGAGATTGCTCATTTAAAATAAAAACCAATGGTAATAAAGCTTGCTAAGCAATTAGTTCAGAGTGGATCTGATAATGGAAAAACGTAAGCCACTATAATGAACTTATTATATTTTACACAGTATTTGCATTTAAAATGCTTCAATGCTTTATCTAATGAAGATAATAATACTTTGTGTTTTATACTAACTATTCAGAGTAGAACTAGCTGAACTGTAAAGCAGTAATGGTGATTGATCAGCCTGAAAAATTAAAGCTAGACTCAGAAGTAATAAGTATTCTGTTCTAGCAACAGCCAAGTATTAAAAAAAAAAATCACCAAGGATCACATTTTCTTAAATAACGGATGTCAGTCCAACCCTGCATGTGCTATTAGCCAGGTGTTAATTTGTGGATCAGTAGATGTTTGCTCACATGCTATAATAATCAGTTCCATTCACGCTTGCACGACACTTGTCACCAGGAATCTCAAAACACTTCACAAACATTAATTAAGTCCCTGTACACCCTCTATGGTGGACAGGAGCTCCATTTTACAGAAGCATAGGGAGCTGAAGGGGGAAACTCAGAGCACAGGTGGGGCACAGTTGGAAAGGGAAATCAGATTTGTCCCCCTGTTCCAGCTCACAGACAACACTGGTTCGTATCAGCCTCAGGGCAGAGTTTATGATACGTAGACTGTTGTCACCAAAAGGCTGCAGGGCTACTAGTTATGTTTTGCTGTCCCCAATAGCATAGCATTTCTTTGCCCTGCCTCTATCTCATATTTGGGCAAGGTGTGCATTTTACTACTGAAAGTTGAGGGACGTGCTGTCTGATCGAGGTTCCCAACAACATATGGTGTTGGGGCAGTGCTCTGTGCTCTACAGAGGTCTTGCGAGTGGGACAGAAGGGTTGGTCCTGTCTGTGCCCGAGGTGGGCTCTTATACCTTCCTCCTACCTCCATTGGTACCCCATTACAACAGCTACTCGATGCACCATGGAGGAAGTGTCAATGTTAGGGTACTTGCCAAGCAATATAAGACAGAGAAATGTATTTTAAACACCGCCCCAACAAAAAGACTCTGGCCTTCTATAGCAGTTGAATCAGAACAAAGATCACCGCTCTGTGTTCGCCTCTGGAATAGCCAATAGCACACAAAGTGCTAGACAGCACTTTTTCTAAAATACGACCACCAGGAAAGTGACATTAAATGAGCTCTAAGATATATGATCCTCCTTTAAACCATGCATACAAAACACATGCAGTAGTGTGACGAGAATAATGGCTCCAGTCCTCTCTCTTCACATCACTGTGCGCTTCAGGAGTCGTTCTGGTCAGGCCAGCGGACTCAAAAATTAAAAATCCCCACTATTCTGATCAGAGTATACATCAACCAGCACAAAATCCAGATCAACTTTACTGTCTTGAGTTTTGTTTTACATCTGTGTTTTACTTGCCTTCTTCAGAAGCGAGAGTTACAGTGCTGAGATAAGACTGCTCCTAAGCTCAGCAGGGGAGTACAATATATAGCTAAACTTATGTTAATTTGGATTTTTAATTTCTTTGCCTTGTGGTATTGGAAAATGTCAAGACTACTTTTATAATGTATGCAATAATTCATTTTTAGTAAACTTATAAATCAAGCCACATTAAGAATTAGGAATAGAAAATGGGAGATCAATTAAAAATGCACAAAGTAGCTTTTAAAAATAACTTTCTAATTAACCGGCCTTATCTTTAATATGTGCTAATAACGAAACTGTCTCCTCCACAGAACATGTTGTATACCTAAAGTTGTTTTTATTTCCAAAGAAAGCATTATCTGCAATTATAAACTGTATGGGTAATTTTTAGATTATACAGGCTTTCAAAATTTTACATGTAGAAGATTTCAATTTTGAGCACCTTGTTTTTACATACAGATGAAATGATGGAGTTTCCAACTAACCTTTTTTATTCAAATTTCAATTTGTTTCTAAGCTTTGAAAGAAAGCAAAAAACCACCTCTGTTGCCCAAGCATAAAAGAGGCTGCAGCCCTGGGAAGAACTTTTATGATGTTAATAGAAAAATCTGCTGGTTTTATCTACCATCATGGAGCTAAAGCATGTGAGGGGAGATCAGGGGAGACTTCTGCATTACCAAGTCTTCCATCAAGAATCAAACTTGTGTGGCTGTTTGGAAGACCAACAAGGTGCAAACAATTAAAGAAAGAACCGACCCAAGGAGTCACAGTGTAAACCTCTTTTTTTCCTCCTTAATGGTAGTAGCAATCTCAAATGGTGGCAGCTGACCCATCATTACAGTGAATTCTAAATGTTGGTCAGTGTTTTAGGACAGTCACACTTTCCCAGTGGCTTGTTCCTTACCTCTGTACCTCCTTGTTCTTCCACATGGAGGCAGACTGAGCCTTTGGCACACGTTCAATGGAATTCACCAGTTCTTCCATGAGGAGTCTGAAAAGACATCATAACTAAATTAGTATTGCAGCCTTTCACGCAGGAGAGAACTTTGTCCCAAATGTTTCCAAAATATCACGTAAATTGTAACACTATTAGGCAGTTTTAAAGCGGGGTTCTTCCCGCAGAGGAATCGCAGCAATTACCCTTCACCAATACTACCCCTGATTCTCCACTGAGTTTTTCAAGCTCAAGCTAGTCCAATTCTGTCTGCTGGTTGCGACAGCAGAGGATCTGGCCCACTGGGTTATGGGTTATTTGGAAAGTGGCAGGACAAGAGGAACTCCCAAATCTCTCTCCTGCTGCACAAGATGTTTTCTTCATTACTGACTGCTTGTCATATGGAATGAGACAAAATATACAAAGAAAACTCATTAGCTGATGCCTGTTTATCACTTAGAGAAACCAAGCACACTGTCAGAGTGAACTCTTCTCATCTACAAATGCACAATACGGCATTTGAGACAGAAAAATATGTCAGGCGTTAAAAATTGGCACTGCAGATTTCACTGCCCAAAACTAAACAGCGTTTGTAATTGTATGCATGCTTCCCCTTGCAGGTAGGAAGCGACAGATTTAACCGCAGGAGAATGGCATCTGGAATTACTTGGGGTGGGGAGAGCCACACCAGTATACTCTCCAACAAGACTACGCTTGTTATCTTCAGCTATGGGCCAGCGATACCCCAGAGGTCTACCACTAGTTCATATTTATGCAATTCCTTTCTCCTACAAGGGCCTTCAGTTTCTGTTTGTTTTTACACAAAGGGAGAATTACTCTGGCGGGGAAAGTTTGCATAGGACCTTTAACAGACAAAGATTCCTGCCCGAAAGTGCTTACAGAGTAGTTCAGATACCATGGGCTAATCTGGTTTCTAGTTATTGAACATGGCAGCTGTTCTGCATGAGAGATGCACACAGCACAAGGCCAGTCAGACTTCGTGGAGGGCCAAACCTGCAGCCTTTGGTATTGACTTATCCAATCAATGGGCAACTTTGTAAGAAAAGACTACCAAATTTGGTGACCAAGTATTAAGTTTTTGGCTGCATCGTCAGGTCTTACATTTTCTGCTTCAGTTTCATATTTCTGCTGTTTTTCTTAGCGCTTCTCTTTGGAGTTCAGAGCTTATGTATTTCGACTGTCATTGGAGATGAAGCCAGCTCAAATTCCCTTCCATGGTGTGGAGGAAAGTGTGATTATATGAATTTCAAATGCTGAAAAGCTACAGGGCAATAATCTTAAAAGACATTTATTGTTGAAAAGATTGGTGATTCCTCTTTTGTTTAAGGGGAGCAGAGAGGAGCAGGAGAAATCGTTGATTCATAGGTTTTGAAGGTTTGAAGTTGGCTGTGTGGCAATTGCTGCTGAAGGTGTCTCGGTCCACTCAAGATCTACTATCCTACATCTACTGCCTGGACTCAACACAAAGCACCTGCTGTAAATGTTGAAGACAGATGGTTCCAGAGATTGGGAAACATTGAGTTAACACATTTGCAGCACTAAGGACTTGGCTGGCGTTCAGCTACTGCCTAAGAGCCTCTTCGGAACATTAGACACCACTCCTCTAACCCATATTGTCCTTTACACCTTTTCCTTAGCAGTGATGAAAGAGGAGTAGAGAATATTAAGGGGCTTTTTACCTGCCAATTTGAACAGTGGGCTCCGTGGCATACACTGTTCCAGTGAATCCTGTGTACTCTGTGATATAGGGCAATGCCATCATGCAGTGATAGTTTGAGATCAAGATTACATCTACCGTGGAGAGGTCAAGCAGCTCAGTCTGAAAACAGAGGAAAGAGATAAGCAACATGTAACCCTTTCATGCAGTTTAAGAAATGGCAGAAAAACTTCTTGTTCTTTTTTTTTTTAAACTTCATATTGCAGGAATGTAACTGGTTTATAAAAAAAATAGGGGGGCGCACGTCTCAGCTGTGGCCAAGATTAATGTTTCCTTTAAAAGACAAGATGTATTTAAAAAGCCACGTAAAGTTACTCTCTTCTCAAATCTGGAAAGGAAACCATGTCCTGGGTTTGTCTGTCTTTCATGTAATGAAATGGCTGCCACTAAGAGAGGCATGATGATTACCCTTTTATCAAAGAACTGATGTGCGTGCTTCCTTAGGGAGGAACACTGTGCAGACACCAAAACTTCTGCAGTAGCGATTTAGCAGAGTGTCTCGTATTTTTTATGTGGCACATGGTACTGTACTCCGGGAGAGTGAGAGATGAACATAGGTTGTATTTATTCATATGCTTAAAATAATTCTCATATTTTCCCAAACTAAATGCTTGGCATCTTTATCATTCACATTTTCTGTGGCAGGAGATTAAGCTCATTCATAGGATACAACAAAACAGACGGGTGGGTCCAATTTGTTTTGATGTGACAGTTAAGACAGCAGTTCAGAGAGTGAAAGAAGATTTCACACATTGTTAAAGGAATTTTAATTAGAAATATTTACTGGTAATGCTACAACACAAATGGTGTCAAGTCAGAAATTTACAAGATATATGACCTCTAACTCAGTTATTATAGAGCAGCTAATGGAATTCAACACTCATCAAGCACATATTATCTGATTACAAGGCTTGGTCCAGCAATTTGAATAAAAAAGGCAAGAAAGTAGGTCACTCAGCTTTTCAGAGGGCTGACACAGTGCTCTGGTGACAAGCTGTTTAACTCACAGCTAAGCGTTCATGGTTTCAATCCATGATCACAGCTGACGGGGGAGGCACGATCTCCAAGCTGAGTACGGTAGGTGAAACACCATCCTCAGATACATGGCAGGGCACCCTTTTATCTTACGAAGCTTGCCAGGCAGAAATACACTCACTACGTGGTATCAAAGAGTCTGCTGACTCCTGCTCCTACCATGCTGGTCCTTCATGGCTTGGTTTTCAGCCGTGTCCAGACCATAGAGAACCAAACGGGGAGTCACTCAGCACTGAGCTGAATCCCAGCCCTGTATCAGGAAGATACAGACCACCACTTTCCAAGCTTAAGCGTCCCACGTCTCAGCATCCTAGAAGCATTTACTAATAGGATGGAAAAGGGTGTCAAAACCAAAACAAAGTAAAATCTTTCCTGGGACTTGCGGCTATCTCACTAAAAGTGCCTATGAACTGAAGAGGTTTAAAAATATTTCCTGAATGTGAAGTGAGAGAGACCAGAAGGTTGCCAAGCAAAGAGAGGGCTGCACCCTGCTCTCTGACATGTGGAAGTGTACTCTGCTGCTGAGACAGCCTCTTATCACCTTGTGGCTTCTGGATTACATTCAAAACTTGGCTTTCTTTGGCAATGGTGTTCCTGGAAGTGATACTGTGATTCTCAAACTAACTGCTTTTGCAGACAAGTTTCTTCAAAAGAAGTGGTGTGGAAGGAGACAAAGAAGACGACAAAGCCTCTTTCACACAAGCTCCTTCTTATACTGTGCTGCCAAACACCAGCAGCATTTCTACTCTGCTGATGCATTTGGCTGGCTATGACATCTGAACTCCTCTCCAGACAGGGGAGCCTGCGAAGCTAGAGATGCGAGCTGTGAATCACCAGCAGATCTGTTCCTCATGCTTGCAGAGAGGCCTTGGCATCTGTTGGGAACTCTGGGAACCGAAGCATTTGAGAGGCCATTTGTAAAGTCCCTACAATGGCGACATGTGCAGCTGCTTGCTGTCTTCTAGTTGTAACATGGGCTGCTGGAAAACAGTGATGACACCGGTACAATGAAGCATCGACTTCCCAGCACTCATATTTAGAGCTACACATGTGGGTATTTTCCAGCCCAACAAAGTAACCAGAAAGCCTAGCTGAAGCACCCTGAACTCCGGCAGATTATAATTTCTGTGCATGGCCTCAATTCCAAAGGGAATCTAGAACATAAACTCCACCTTTCCCAAGATCCGGGACATAATTGCACTTTCTAGGTATAGAGATGCTTCCTACATCTCTCCCTTCCACACAGCAGTAACCAGAAAGCACACAAGAACCCAGAATTACTAGGTTGGGTTTTTTTGTGATTGGATTATAACCATTTCTGTTGGGGAAAACAAGCAATTGCACACAGATCTGTTGATATCACTTGCCAAAACCAGTACCAGAGCTGCCAACTTGCTTGGAAGAATCAAGATGACAAGAGTCAGAAGCTGCAAGAGGTGAGTTTCATGGAATCAACAGACAGAAACACTATTGCCAGAAGCCCAGCAAGCTGACAACAACCTTCCAGGAGTGTTTTGTACCTCCTGTCAACAAGGTCAGGCAAAAAGGAAAAAAAAAAAAACCCTGCCCAAAAGCAATCGTCTCTGTCTTTGAAAGACAGAGAAAACATCCCAACATGAAATGAAAGAAGTGATGTTATCACAGCCTGAACACAGCTGAGGAAAGAGGATACTATTCCCAGACTATTCCCCATCGTTCACTCTCTGCTCAGCTTTTTACTCTTTCAGCTCTCCTATATATGCCGTTAATCTGATCAGTCAGGTAAGCCCAGTTAATTCAAACATTTTCAATAGTCTTGCTTTCTTTTTTTTTAAAAACCCAGGTATTCTTGAAAAAAACAGCTTGAGAAGCAGCTACTTGCAGTTATGTCAGTGGATATGAGGGTACAGTTCTTCCCTCAAAGAGGCAGTAATGAATAGCTAAGAAGGCGGCAAAACTTTTTAACCCAAATTTGCTGCCGGCAGAACAGCACGTGGGACTGCAGCCCTGCGGAATCACACAGTGCCTCAACCACAGGGTCGGCTCCCCAGGGGAGCTCCACTGGGCAGGTCATGCATCTGTGGTTAGAGACAAACAGCTTTCCTTGTCTTCATTCACTGCCCTTATCTAGATCAGCACATGTATCCTGTCATAATCAAGTCCAGTTCAGTCATATTGTCTTTGGAAGGCCCATAAAAAGGGACAGTTAAGTCTTATTCTTCTGTGAGATATCGATCTGCTCAAGAAGACCTTCCAGATCTCCCAAAACCATTGTTGAACAGGGCTGTTTCCATCCTTTTTCCAGTGTCACAGATACTAGAGGCACCTTAACAACACAGGGGTTTTAGTAGTATTATTTACCGAGTACTAATAAATTAGCATGAGTCTAGTAATAATAATTCAGCAATTTTCTCCCACATGATTGAACGGAGTCACATTTTTCAGTAAGGCTTTGAACAAACTCACCTCTGGTAAACAGAACTCAGGCACAGAGTCTACAAACACATGGCCAGAGCACTCCTTTAGCTCCTGTGAGAAAAGCACATCAACAGAGAAGACACAAAAATACAACGCAATGTTACTCCAGTGCAGCAGATCTTGCAATTTCAAAACCTTTGCTTTATCACAGGTAATTTCCAGCCCGTTACTACATTACGTTTATCCCTCTTCTAGATACAATTTGCTGTAAGTAAATGTGCTGAAATTGCTTTCATGGAGACGAGGCTGCTGGGTACTTCAAGGGATCAGATCCTCGTTTGGAGGAACAGAGGCAGCGCTCTGGTAGGTAAGGAAAGAGACCCTGGTAACCACTGGCTGGTTTTGCTGGGGCCACGAAGGAGGTGCTGTCCTATGAAGCTGCGTTTTCTCTGCTCTTCCAACTGCAAATGTGTTGGCTGGGAAATCTCTAACAATACAAGTTGACTTTGTCTATCAGAACCCAAAGTAAAATATGAACTGAAAAGTGGGTAATGAAGACCACTCTTCTCGGAACTGCTGCTCTCCTGACCTGGAAGGTGTGCACAGCACCTTTAGAGTGCCCTGGCTATCTTACAAGTCTGGAATTTAGTTTTGGTTCCCAATAACATCACAACTTTTCTGTCTTATTAGGAGCAGAATACAATTTTTAGTCCCTGTCTCAGAGCATTTGATGAAACATCTTTTGGGGAGCTAAGCTCCACGTGGCACTTTTTGTTGGACTTCTCTCTACTGGATCTCTAGTCCTCTATTTTCTTCCTCTTTTTTCAAGGCTGACATCAGAAATCTTTGTCACATGAAAAGTCACATTCTTCAGGATTATGTATGGAACAAAAATATTCCCAGCTCTAGTCCTAACACACCTCACAGGCTACCTGTCACCCACTCTGCCTTCTCTTGCGGATGCTTCTCTTGCTCGTCCCAAAGCGAGTGGGCTCAGTCAGCTTCAGACTGACAGCATTAAAGATTGAATGCAATTCTTAATAATTACAGTGCACCTGCCAACTAATAACGAATGAGCAATTACATCTAGTGGCAGAAGTCTCCTAACCTCATCTCAAGGGAGTTCAAAATGATTAAAACTAGATCGCAGCAAATTTCAATGCCTCTCCAGGACTTAAGTTTTATAACTGTCACCCAGAGAGTGCTATAACAGGAATGTCCACCCGACATGATAAAACATCCCCCTTTGGCTCCTTCCCTTGCCTTTTTCCAGTATGGGTCAAAGAATTTACCATTCCAAGCAGTTACAATGGTCAAGGTGAAGGTAAGAGATGCTGCCTTTGAATTTTTAACACATGATTTCCACTGATGATGTGTGAGTTTCAAGATTTCTCCTGAGCACACACTGCAGCAGCAGTACCACAGAAATGTAAATACATCACATATAAAAATATACGGACAGCCTATCCGTTCTTTGGACAGAACAGAGCGCAAAGCTCTGAGACCAAGGCTGGGGTTCAGGAGAAACAAATTCCAGGGAATTCAAACTGGGCAACTCCATTCCTGTCACTGGGCCTCTGCAGCTCTGCAATTGCCAGTTAGCATGTGCTCTGAATAGAGCTGTTACTATTTTACTAACAGAAATGCTGCCTACACAGTTTCTTTTGTCTCCAATGAGAAGAAAAATCAGGTCTTTAATCTATGATCTTCAGCTCCCTTGCCTGTAAAAATCAGATCCATCCATTTTGTCCACCTCAAAGTCCCCTACAAAAGCAACTATTATTACTGTTTTCCTTTAATGTTCACATAGTCAGAGAACAGTCTATTAAACCAGTATTTTCTCCACTGATACCTATTGCTGCAGACATTTGAAATGTATCTGCCTATTTTACTAACATCTGACATATTTTTGTGTTCATTGTTCCCCTATAGCAGATCGAGCTGGACACTGCAGTGCCTAGTTTTGGCTGAAGCCCCAGATAAATTCTGCCTACAAAACTCATGTAATGAAAAGAGGGGAAAAAAGACAAATTCTGTGTCTCTCACGTAGCTGAGTAAGTAAGTCCTGCGTCCTAGAATTAGGAGGCTGGAGATAATATCCTCCCTGCTGTGTCCAGCAGCAGAACACATGTGGATGGGAGAGTACCATGGGATAAAGCCCTGGAGGGGAGAGGGGCCCAAGAAAGCTGGTTAATATTCAAGGATCACCTCCTCCAAGCTCAGGAGCAATGCATCTCAGCAAAGAGGAAGTCAGGCAAAAACACCAGGAGGGCTGCATGGATGATCGAGGACCTCCTGGACAAACCCAAACACGAAAAGGAAGCCTATAGAGGGTGGAAGCAAGGATAGGTAATGGCTTTAAACTGAAAGAGGGGAGATTTAGATTAGATAGAAGGAAGAAGTTCTTCACTCTGAGGGCGGTGAGGCACTGGGACAGGCTGCCCAGAAAATCTGTGGATGCCCCATCCCTGGCAGTGTTGAAGGCCAGGCTGGATGGGGCTTTGAGCAACCTGGTCTGGTGGAAGATGTCCCTGCCCATGGCAGGGGGGTTGGAACCAGATGATCTTTAAGGTCCCTTCCAACCCAAACCATTCTATGATTCTCTGATTCTGTGATTTCAGAGGCCAAAGACATACTTTTCCTCTATAAGAGACCTCCCATGGGCAAACCATTCACTTTCTCACAGTTGTCCTGCCTAAAAAAGGGTATGATACCAACCTCATTTATCAGCATGCTATGAAGCTTTAGTGTCAGAAAAGTGAGACTGTTGAATAACAGGCACTCTGAGAAGGGAAAGCACTATTATTTATGGAGCTCCATGAAATAAGAAACTATTCATACTGATGATTTCTGCATTTTAAGAGGATTTTTTAAAAAGCTAGGCTACCTCTGAAAACTGAAAGCCTCATAGGTGCTATTAGCATTTTGTTTCAAAACGTTCTGCTCTACAAGGACATCATGGCTGGTAAGGGTACACACAGAAACCTTTGTGATGAGTCAGCATGGAAGTATTGTTCCTGCAGTGCAAGCTCCTAACCTGGCAGGTAGCTTTCTGCATGGCAAGAAAATTCTAACCATCAATATAGTACCTTGTCCAGAAACGTGCTTCCGTCTTTCAAAACCCAACCAGGAAGTTTGGACAGCCTGGGGCTGCAGAAAGAGAGAAAAATTATTTCAATATGAATTATATCATTATCAGTGGCTAAGCATAGACCTTCTATTTGGTGTCATACAGGAAGAGAACACCATTTCTGTCTCAGGGAACTAACAACCTCAATAAAACAAACAGACAGTTTCACTGTGTTTAAGTGTTCACTGAAATGACTTTTACAAATCATGATTATAACACTTATAAGTAAAAAGAATAAGAGGACAATGCATGCAGGGAGTTTGATTTTAGCCGTTTACAGTGAGAATTTCAAAAAGGCCCAGTGCTGCTTATGTTGCCCTGTGGTGAAACTGGCTGTATAAACAGAAGAAGGGTTAGGGCAGCAACAAATTCTATGCCTGAAACAATACAAAAGCACCATAAAACTGCTCTGGAATAGAAGACGACAGACAAATATTCCCATTAGCAATGGCAGGGAAAGACCGATGCTCTGGACTAAGTCATTTATAGACACAGAGGTTGCGATTTTATATCCACATAAACCATGGTTTCGTGCTTAGATCTCCCCCTGAAAACCCACACCAGCAGCTGTGCAGCGCATTTACCTGTGTTGGAAGGACAAAGGGGCAAGGAGGTTTTGCTGTGAACTGCACATTTTAAGCTGGCAGGTCTGGTACCAGTCAGCAATGGCAGGGCCCCTTTTTTTAATTGTTTCAAATGCTAATAAAGAAACTTCAAAGTGGACATTGTAATCCTGAGTTTACAGTAGTAATTGCTGCAGCATACCTTGCTACTATAACTGAGAGACTTATTCGTACTTCACAATGACATTTGATTTTTGTGTGAGCCTACAACTTAACTCTAGAACCACTGTCTGCCCAGATTCAAGCATATCTACAGAAATCCAAAAAAGAAAGAGTTGAGGAAACAAGAAAATTGAACATGCCTGGAACCAAGCCCTGCAAAAACCTCAGATTTGAAGACAGAACTCAAGAACCCGGTTGCAATGAAATCTGCAAGTGTCGTGCACTAAGGTCTATAGACAGGCATGCTTACATGCTAAAAGGGCTTTCAAATTTAAGATCTCAAAAATACGAAGTGATTCAAGGGCTCAGAGGAATGTTGTATTCAGGCTACCTTTAATATAAAAGAACAAATCCGAACTGGCACTTCAGAAAGTCACAAGGAAGGAAAAAGGAGAAATCTAAGACTGACGGAGTGAAGGCAGAAGGTAAGAAATGAGAGCAGAAGGATATGTCATTGAGAAGCTATGCCAGAGAAGTGCAACGCCCTTTGGAGGATAAAGAGTAAGTCTGAAGAAGTCTCATGACTGAAAAGATGAGGTGGCTAAATGTACTCCCCACTGACACATTCAAAAGCACAATTTAAGAGCAGTATTTTGGAGACTGAGGGGGCTAGGTAGAATTGGTGCAGACAGACTGAAAGAGGTACGGGAAAAGCAGGGAAAAAGCAAGAACGAACCACTCTCATACGCAACAACTTCGACAGGTAAGGGAGGAGAGGCCAGAGACCTTGGTTGGAAGAGACATCTGGAGGTCTGTAGTCCAATGTCTCAAAGCCAGCGCTAGGCCAGGTCAACCATGGCTTTGTCCAGCTGTGTCTTGCAAACCCCAGGAGCACGAGAGTCTAGAGCCTCTCTGGGGACGGGTGAAAGTGCTAAGAAAGACTTCACTGGGAGGCTAATGCCCAACCTGAGCCTCTCAAGACACAATTTGTGGCCACTAGCCCCTTATACTGCCTGCCACCGTCCAGAAGGGTTCGGCTCTGTTGCCTTTGTAACTTCCTTTCAAGCAGATGTAGGTGGCTGTTAGCTGCCCATCCAGCCTCCTCTTTGCCACGCTGAACAAGCCCAGCTCTCTCAGCCTCTCTGTGTAGTCACGGGCTCTGGACCCTCACCATCTTGGAGCCCCCTGAACACCCTCTCCAGTTTCTCAGCATCGCTCTTCAATTGGGAATCCAAACCTGGATCCATTTGTGGTTTCACCAGCATGAGGCAGAGGGGAATAAATTTTCCTTGATCTGCTAGCCCTACTCCACCTAATTTAGCCTAGCACGCCGTTTGCCTTATTCATGATGAAAGAGCACTATTGACTTGTACTAAACCTGGCATCCACTGAAGAGTACACAGTCTTGTCAAGAGGCAAAATTAGCAGATAGGTCTTGTGTGTGGGTGAAAGTGGAATAAGCAACACAGGACAGAAAGGACTCTTTACCTTGAAGCCAAGAAGTAACACAGTTCCTGCCAACATAGTTTTGACATTGTAATAGAGTGATTGATTAATCCAAAATAGCTAGAACTGTCCCATAAATAATGTGAGCAAGTGTGTCATGGCTAGACAGGAAAGGTTAAGAGCTTCCCACATGTTCATTTTATCGTTTTGCATTTGACTTTGGTACAGGGGAGAAAATTCCAGTTGACAAACCTCCTTTAAAGTACATGAACTGGCATAAAGTATTTGGCAACTGCAGGTACTTTGCACATGCTCCACGGGCTGGTGAGAACAAGGACTGCCATTTCCAGGACAAGGTGGAATCTAAATACCTTTTGATGGGCTGTTTTTGAAGACCAAAGAACTCTCAAAAATGTCCAGTCCCTTTAATGACAAACACTACAGCGCTTTCCTCTCTTACAGATTAAAGCACAGGCTCTCAAAATGTTTGCTCAAGGAGGGTCCCATGCCAGGTATGACACAGGCTCTAGCTGCATAGCAAAGATCCTCTGTAATATCATAACTTTGTACTTCACAGAGGTAAAAATTAGGGCACCTTTGCAGACCACATACTGAGACTTGCAGAGCCCAGCTTGTTCACGGATCCTGCTTTAGGGACCTTTGGTTTAAAGACAGCAGAGAGAAGCATAGCTCCTCTCTGGTTAAGACTTCCCATGGGTCCACCTCAGCCTAGCTGCAAGAAGCAGTACTTCTGTCGAGAGGACATGCAGCTGGTAATAACCTAAGATCTGACAGACCTATGTTCAAATTCTGGCGCTGCTACGTGCTTCACCCAAGACCTCAGGCAGTCAGTCCCTCTTGTAGTCTCTCGTCTGGGAACTGATGATAATGTCAGCTCTCTATCACCTGGCCATGTTATGTTGATAATACACATTTGAATTTCAGAGGTGTTCAGACATCATGGTGATGGAGACCTGATATATAATGGTACAACTATGAATACTACAGAGAGGTAAGGAATTTTTAGGGCAGCCACATTCCTCCTCAAGTTTCTAACTCATTTCCACAACTCCCTGCAGGACATCTGTTTTGTAGAGTACTGAAGAGATCAATTATTTACCCAAGTCCATGTGCTTAGGACAATCCTTGCTGTAAGGGGTGTTCAATCACCTTACCGACAAGACTGATTGGATTTAAATCCAACTGTTTGCTCCGATTCCACTGGGCCATCAGGGGTCAAATCTGACATCCTTTCTTATTGAGTTTGAGTCATTTTAGTGCAGACATTCTGGAGGTACTTGGGGAATTCCAGGTTGTGACCTGCAATTTGGCTGTTCATTCCCAGGGTCTGCTATCGGCAGTCAAAGCTGGCATATCCCCGGGGAGCGTTGATGCCTGCAGTTCTAAAGAACCTCTTAAGCCTTTGTTCAATCACCTTATTTTGCTACTTGTTCCTCTCTCAATTTCCTTTTTCTTTGGGGGGTGGGAGAAAGCGAATGCAAGGCAATTCTGTCTGTACCTGGATTTCCCAAATTTTCCGGATCCCTTCAAAATCCACTACTGCCCCTAAATGTTGCAGTTAGCAATTGCATTATGGAACGGGACAAAAATTGACTATCACACTGATCAGTCTTAAGGGATCTGTTGCCTACTCTACCGCAGATCTTGAACTCCATGTTCTTGCAGAACAATGCATACATTGTCTATTCTTTTCCTCTCCAAAACATAACAAATCATAGGAAGTGCTGGACAAACTGCTTTAACCTCATTAGGTCACTGAGGAAACTCCCTTTCCCAACCACATTCTCCCCCTCTCAATCAAGCCTCCCCTGAACCCAGAACGTTCCTCACTTGTTTCCTCGTGGATCGAAGTTATTAAATGGCTTTTGTGAAAACTCCTACTGCTTCCCATCACCAAGAGTTACTCATTCCCACCTTTCCAACCCCTCACTTTTGTAATTTTTTGCATTTATGCAAGACATAAGTCACCCTAACTGAATATCCAAATTCATCTAAAAGCCTGGGAAAATACGACTTTGTAGTTAGGGCACAGAAGGGGGAGTCTTCGTCTCAGGACTCTCTTCTAGACTCTACTTTTGTTTCACTGCCATTCCATTCCTGTGCCCAGCTGCACTGCCCTTCTATTTATTTAATTTCTAAAAGGGAACAATTATGCCATCAAGTCAACTAACGAGGACTGTTAAGTGCTATTTTTCTTTGCATTAGTCTGTGCTCTGAAGAAAAGCCTGAGAAGACGGTGGTTAAACAGTACTTGCTGGGTTCCACGCACTCCATCTCGGTTACCCATTTATCTCATCTTGCATGAAGAAGCCAGAAAGATGACAGATATGTGACCTCACTTGTGCTGAGCAGTTGCAGCAATACTTTACTGAAGCTTAGAATAAATTATCTAGAAAAACCAATCAATAAATCCATAAAATGTCTTCCGTCCACTGAGCCAAAGGACGTTATTTTGATAAAGAGAATTTTTAAGTGAACAAAGTCTATTTATGATATCAGATGATGCTGTTCATTTGTACTCATCCCCTCCCTCCTTCCAATACAGCATTTCACGCAGAGCACTCCAACTGCAACCCAAGAAGACACTGACTAAGTGCTTACAGGCCGCAGAACATACCTCTGAACCAGTGGTAACGGGAGGAAATTGAGGGTAGACGTCATATCCAGTCCGCAATCCAACATGATGGTGGTGGATTTGAACTTGAGTACGTTGCATGGCAAGGTTGGATGTCCTGACAGGCAGTACTGAAAGAAGCGTACGAGGATGAGTTACTCGTGACCTTTACCAACAGAGTGAAACCCCCTAAAATTGCCTTTTTTCCCCTTATTTTTAAACACAGAGTTTCATACACACCAGAACAAAACCCGATTTCCTACGAATCTGTTTCTCACAGCTGCGTGTTCATTGAGATTTCCCTGTATCAGGGTATTAAGGGGCAGATTTTCTTCAAACAAGGTTTTCTTTCTCATCACAAGAGCTGAAAGGATGGCAGAGCTCCTCTCACCAATTAAGGACACATGTAGAATCTCTTTTGTCTAACAACCACCTATTTTCACAAAAATCCCAGAAAATCAGTTTCTTCAAAACTCAGTCCTACTGGCAAAACTTGGCTGAAATCGGCTAGCAAATTTGAAAATTACTTGGGGTGGAAAGGGAGGGAGAGAATCCCTGCAGGAACACAAGTTTCATCTCCTTAAGAAACCTGCCTAAACAAACAAACAAGGTGCAGCCCACACCTTCTGTGGCTGCTTGGCACAGATCAGCAGAGGAAGCTGTACATGTGCACCGCAGCAGCTCTGGGGCATGCTCTCACCTGCTTTTTGTCTTGCTAAACGCAAACAGGAAACACTAGGGAATGGAGAACCATACCTGAATGGAAGGGTTTGTGTACTGAGAAATCCCAAATGCTTTGCAAGCTTAATGAGCCAGTAAGCAGGTTATGTGCAGGGGCACTTCAGCATCATTGAGATGCAGTCACCTCTAGTATGGAGAGCGGCAAACATTTAACAAGGCACAGCAGCAGCTGAAGCTTTGAATAAGAAGAGAAGTGAATAAAAATGCCAGCTTTAAAATGCAGGATTAGAAACGTAAATGTCTGAATAGACTGCGGCCACCTCCACATGAGGGTTTCTCTTCTTTGAGGAGGGATTCGATGGTTCTTCAGGGATTGCAAGAATAGGAGATTTTGCATTTCGAATACAAGTTTTTGCATCTCCGAAGTCTGGGCATCTGGCAGCACAGCAATGCTCAAGTGGTCAAACTTCAGCTTTTAAATTCAAGTTTTGGTCAATTAAGATGAAAAATATCAACTGGTTGGCCATGCGCTGCACTAAAACCAGACTCAGTCATTTTCTAAGCCATTTATACCTTACGCTTGCTTTCTATACTTCACTCGAAGAAGCGGAAAGTGGAAAATTTCATTTCCTACCTCTGCTCACAGTATGTTAACACAGGCCTGCAACTGTCTGGATGAACAACTCCCAAGGAGTCTATTTACATACATTCATCAAAACCCTGTTTTAAACTATATTTAAATATTAAAAAGCTACTAAGCCCCAAATACTAAATTAAAAAAATATCACAAAGACTTTTGTTTTAAATTCACAAAGCCTTAATGATTAAGGAGCAACATTACATTTTGCCTGCTGTTAGGAAAGTTTAAAAAAGAGTGAAAAGCCAAGCTGGTGATGAAGTGAGTATACAAGTAGGGAATTCAGTTGTTTTATTCGCAAATGCAAAATACACATGTGAAATTAAGTTCCCCCCAGACCAGAACTTTGACAACTGAAGCTATAAATCCAAATAAATAGAAAGAAATGAAGGAAAAAATAAGATCTAAACTATTTTTGTAGCTTTTAAACTATCGGCAATTAAAAAAGGCAATGAAATATCACCACTTTTGTCAGCAAAACACTTTCTTGCTTTTTTTGAAATCATGAATAGGATCGTGACCCTGACATCTACGAGCTAACTGGAAAATCTTCCTTTTTTCTTCTTTAAAAGCATCTAAAATAATCTATATCTGTGGCTGTCACGCTGTGGTAAATGGATTCCTGGGAGTCAATGGACTCTTTCTATCAGACTCAAATAAAGTGACTAAAAAAAAAAAGAAAAAAGCTATTCATATATGCTATACAGCTGTTTGCACAGGTGACATTTCTGGGGCTGTTAGAATTTTAGATTAGGAATCCAAAAATCTGAGTGTCTGCACTATATACGTCTCTATACACACTATAAATGTGACAATTTCCACCCAGTTTATACTTGTTACTGTTTAAAACAGATCCAGAGACCCCAGTCACTAATATTCCTGACCAGACTAAAATACCAGTCCTTTTTGCTCTAAGATTTGTTTGCTTCCATCTTTATTCCCTTATGGTTAGAGGCTGCTGCAGCTAACACACTAGGTGCCTCATCTCCTAATTAAAAAATAGTTTGTAAAAAAGGCACAAAACATACAAAAGACATAAATATGCCCACCTCAGCTCACAACTTTCTTGGCAGGCTTTGTAAATTGGATGAAAGTTTGACAGAGCGGGGCACAAAGAGCTGAAGATGAGGGACTAATTCCAGATGCTAAGGCCTTCATTGAGACAGGTTCTCAGCAGACATCTGGTTCATGCTGAGCGCTCGCCAGCTCAGAGCGTCTCTGGTGATCTCATGGATGGCAATGTGACAGAGAAAAGAGATGATGTCTCATGCTAGCAGCTCCAAAACATTCAAAATTTTGCAGGTTAAAGGCAGCACTTTGAATTCCAACTGAAGCCAACAAATACCGCAGTGCATTCTTCCAGCATTAATATCACGTGCTAGCTTAAAATCTAGGGGGAAATTAGCAACTGGATTTGCCTGGACCAAAGCACATTTGAATTTGTGGGAGTCTGACATTTTCACTGGATTCTGAATCAGGTCTGGAGTCCACCACCTCTACCTTGTTCTTCCAAATCCTACCCAAATATATGAGAAAAGAAAATGAAATAGCATCCAACTCCTCCCCCCACAACCCCGAGATTCAGCCATATCTCCAGAGAAACAGAAGATGAAGAATCTGATCTTTTGATCCCCAGTCCCCAAATTTATACACAGGTCTAAAAATGTTAGAATACAGATTTCAGACAGCTTGTATCCCCCCCCC